TTTTCCAAGATTTTTACATATATATATGCGTATACAAGAAAATAATTTTTTTTTTTTTTTAAAGGTTCCTGTTTCCCATTTCCTTTTTTCTTCCCTTTCCTTCCCTTCCCCCCTCCACTTGCACTCCCCATTTATTGATTTTTCTTTTTTTAAAGGGGATTGTTATAGAAAAAAAAAACCTACTGGAAAATAATTTTTTCAAAAGTTTTTTTTTTTTTTTTGGAAAAGAAAAAAAAAGAAATAATAATAATAAAAAGTAAAAAATCATTTTCGCTAGAGAAAAAAAAATAAATTTTCCACTTATATATATATATATTTTTTTTTCGTTTTGTTTGTTTGATTTTGTTGTTGTTGTTGTTGTTACAAAAGTCAGTAAAAGCAGAAGAAAAAAAGAAAAGATGACTTACTGTTAGGCTTAAAAAATCAATTTATTTTTTCTTTCATCGTAAAAAAAAAAAAAAAAAAATTTTCCAACCATCGTTTTGGATCCTGTTTTTAAAACTCTTTCCCTTTAAATTTTTGCCTCAAATTTTTTTTTTAAAACCGGGCTGGAGTCGGAGCTGAAATAGGAGCCGAAATCGGAGTCGTTTCTCAAAAAAAAAACAACGCATAGAGTTTTTTTTTTTTTATAAAAATTAATTTTACAGAAAAAAAAAATTTAAAAAAGATTTTATTTATTTATTTATAACGTAAATTTACGTACCAGAAAAATTTTCGTTTGTTCGTTTGTTTGTTTGTTCCTTACCCCTTCCTCCCTTCCCCCCGTCGGCCTTTTCATAAAAAACAAAAAACTTTCGTGTGGGTTTAAAAAAAAATTAATTTTTTTTTTTGGTTTATATTAACTACGGCGATTATTTTTTATATTCAAAGCGATTGTTGTTGTTGTTTGTTTGTTTGTTTAACTACGAAATTATTAATTTTATTAGTTTTCGTTATTAAATTAACGTAAAAACAAAAAATTCATTATTTTTTTAAATAATTAAAACTTTATAATTTTCTTATATATAATTTTTCCGTCGCCAAAAGATTTATTACTCGTTGCGGTATTTAAACTTTTTCCAACGTTTTTCTTCCAGCGACAGATTAAAAATAGAAAATTTTTATTTTTTGAATATTTCAAAAAGCAGAAGACAAATAATAATTTATTTTAATTTATTTTAATTAAAAAAAAAAATAAAATTTAAATTTTTTTTTAAACATAAACTTTTTTCTTATTATTAATAATTCTTTTTCGAATAGTTTCCACACCGAATTATTATTATCATTCTTTCGCGCTTTTTTTTTTTTTTTAAATTTTATTTATGAAGTGTTCGTGCGTGAGTGCTTGTGCGTGCGTGTGCGTGTGTTTTTGTGAGAGTTGAACGAGTGTTTGAATTATTAAAAAACATTAACACAAAAATATTTACTCGTTTAAAACGTTAACCTTTCGAGTGGTGTTTGTGTGTTGTGTGTTTGTTAAGTTATGATAAAACAAAAGAAAATGTCGTCATTTCTTTTATGAAAGAAACAAACGTAAAAAATTTGAAGTCATCGAAAACCATTTTCAACCCGAAAAAAAGAAGCCATTTTGTAGGAGGTTAAAATAAAAGAAAAATCGTCACTTTTTTTTTCGTCGTGTTTGTTGTTTGTTCACATCAACAAACGAAATCGTCATTAAGGTTTATTAATTCGTGTTATGTTTCAACTATTTCCGCGATTCTCAATGTTACCATGAAAATTTAAATTTTTTTAACGTTTAAAAACAAACAAAAACATAAACCAAAAAAAAAAAAAAAATTAAAATAAGAAATGATTTATTTATTTATTATTATTATTATTATTATCGGAAATTTAATAAATAGTAAAAAAATTAAAATAGTTATTTCTATTTTAATAATTAAAAAAAAGGAAATAGTTATGAAAAATTTAAATAAAATAAATAAATCATAATTTCGTTTAAAAAATTTTTTTGTCTTCTAAAAAACTTTTTTTAACGTGTCGTGAAAATTTATTTTAAAAAAATTAGCAGAAGACAATTATAAATAACATAAAAAAATATGAATAAAATTTTTATTTATTTATTTATTGATTTGTTTTGATTTGACTTGATTTGACCTTGAAAACGTTTAAAATTTTTTTTACTTATTTCGTTAATGTTATTATTAAACGTGTCACACACAAACACACGAAGAAGAAGAAGGTTTTTTTTTTTTTTTAAAAAGAAACAACAAAACGTGACGTTTTCAAAACTTTATTCATGGATTATTATTACTACTATTATTATTATTCTTAAAAAACGTTTATAAATATTTAAAAAAAATTTTAAAGTTTTATTTTTAGAGAAAAAAAAAAAAAAGAAATGAAAGAGAAGAAAATTTTATTGGTGGATTTTAATCGATTTCCAATAAAAAAAAAAGAAAAATTTGAAAAAATTTGATCAGGTGATCAAAAAAAATTGTTTGTTTGTTTGTTGTTTGAAATTTATCCTTTTGTTGTTGTTGTCGTTGTTGTATTTTTTTTTTTGATTGGTTTGAGGTATGTGGGTGTAAAAAAATGTTTTGAAACAAATTTTTAAATTAAAAAATTTAAATATTTATTTTAAAATAAAAATAAATTTTAAAAATAGCATTTTTTGTAACGCTAACACTGTGATTTTATGTGTGTGACAGGAAAAATTTTGCAATTTTTTTGGAAAAAAGGTTTTTTTTTGAGGGTAGGGGTTGTTTTGATGTGATGAAGGACGAAGGTTTAGGATGTTTAGTATCCGCAGTTTTCAACTCCGGTGACAACGTTTCCAACAAGTCCGTTGCAGACTTGTCCGAAAACGTTACCAGCGACGAGACCGTTGGAAACTCCTCCGAAAACGTTTCCGGCGACGAGTCCGTTGGAAACTTGTCCGAGGACGTTTCCGGCGACGAGTCCGTTAGAAACTTGTCCGAGGACAACGTTGTTCATTCCAGATGGGAGAACGGTTTCGAGGGTCTTGGAGTTTCCGACGAAGTTTCCAGAGTTAGAGGCAACATCGACGACTGGGGTGGTGACAACACGGGTAAGACGGTCAACAGATGGGACGGTGAAGTATTCGTTGCGGACTTGTGGTCTGATCAAAGTCTTGACGCAGTGGCAGGACTTGGAGACGGAGGTGGATGGGAGGATGGATGGGACGACGGAGGAAGATTCAACGACTGGGGTTTGGACGTAGGTGTTTGGGGCTTGGACGGCTTGGACGGTGACGGCGGCTCCGTTAGAAACTCCGGCGGCTCCGTTGACGGCGTTGACGGCGTTAAGGGCGGCGAGGGCGTTAAGTCCTCCAACGTTTCCAGAGACGGTGTTAACTCCTCCGACAACTGGAACGTTGACGGTGTTAAGGGTGTTAAGTCCTCCAACGGTGTTGACGTTGTTAAATCCGACAACTCCGCAGGTGTTCATGCATGGAGCAGCAGAAGCCTAATAAATAAATAAATAAATTATTAATCAATATCCTTTAGAAATCCCCCCCAGAAAAAAAATGAAAAAAAAAAGGAAAAGAATTTAATTAAAATCCTTTTCTTTTGTTTTGCTTACCCCGAAAACGGCCAAAGCCAAAACCAAAAGAGAGTTAGCGTACATTTTTTTTGGGTTTGTTGTTATTGCTTTCCTAAGACAATTGGAAAACTGATGCCAAATACGATATTTCGATCGTTTTTATACCAAAAAAATTAAAAACATTAAACGTGATTTGATATGGAGCAAGTAATGCCGTCAAAAGTGTCACGATAAAATCACAACAACATAGTTAAAAAATAAACATAAACATTATCATCATTATTATTATTATTATTAATGAGGAATATAATGAAAAAAAAAAAAAAAGTTTTTAAAACAATGGATTCGTTTTAATAATATTTACGTTAAGGTTAACACCGGAGTTCAATTGATTCAGCATTAATTATAATCGCGCTAAAGGTGATTTAAAAATTTTTATCAATCAATTTATTACTCTATGATACTTTTTTTTTTTTTTTCGAAAAAGAATCTCTTTAAATTTTAGAAAAGGCTCCTTTATGCCTTTATCACCAACATCATCATTATTATTATAATAAATAAACCGCAAAAAAAAATTTTTTATATGAAAATTCTCAGTTTTTCTTCTGACTTGGGGAATTAACCTTTTTTTTTATTCAATCAAAAAAAAGAAATTTTATTTTGAATCGAAAAAAAGAAAGTTTTTTAATGAAATTTTATTGGCTTTAGTAATCTTGTTAGTCCCTTTTTTTTTTTTTTAAAAAAAAAAAAGTACAAAAAATCAAATCAAGTTCAACAACATCATCATCATCATCATCATCATAGGCAGGCATACTTTACGAAAATTTTCTTTTTTTTTTGGATTTAATTTTATTTCGAACGAAAAAATAAATTAATTTTTTTTTCCTTTTTTCCTTTTTTTTGTCAGATATAAAAATTAATCATCTTATTCAAATCTTTTTGGGGGGGGGGGAAAAAAACTTTTTATTATTATTAAAGTTTTGGTAAATTTTTTTTTTTTGAGAAGTAGGGGGGGGGGAAGAGACAAACGGAATGGATTTAATTGCTAAAATTTTTGTCCGAAATTCAGTCATTAAAATTAAAAAAAAAAAAAAATTTAATTACTTTTTTTTTTTTTTTTTGCGGTGACGGCGGCGGTAACGGAGACGAAATTTATTATTATTATCATTATTCGGTTTTTTTTTTTTGGTAAATTTAGTAGGGAAATTTTTAAAAATTTGCTGCGATTAAGTGCACAAATACCTCCCCAAATTCACACCCTTACGTTAAAAAATAAAATTTTTTTTTTTCTGCGTTGCGTTGGCAATATTGATGTTTTCGATGCATAAATTACGTAGGGGTAAGGGAGGAAAAAGAAAATTCAATACCAACGTGACGAAACCGGAAATGAATGATAAGTAATGTGGAGAGGGGGGACAGGGCACTTAAAATAATTGTTTTCGATGATGAATACGTTTAAACATATGGAAAACGATGGTAATAATAATAATAATGGTATAATCGGGGAATTTAAATTTTTTTTTTATTACACGCACGCCCACCTCCTTTTTCCCGCCTTTTTTTTCAAACTTAATCTCGTCACGGGATGAGAATTAAAGAAAATTGATTTAAATAAAACGTTTTTTTTAAATTTCAAATTGATGTAAAAAAAAAAAATCCGGTGGCATCTGTCCTGTCTGCCATATTTAAAAAGGAAATTAAATAGAGAAAATAAATTTTTTTTTTTTTTTGTCTTCTGCTTGTGTTCAACTTTTTTATTTTTATTTAAAAGATGGGTGTTCAACTAGAAAGAAAAAAAAGTTTTTTTTTTTTTTTTTTAACAACTACTTTTCTGTTGTAAATTAAACCTTTTTAAAAAAATTTTTTTTTTTTACGGTCTTTTTTATATTCGTCATTTTTACCGGTGCCGGCGGCGGCGCCATTTTAATTACGACGAAAAAGAAAAAATTTATGTAATTAAACCTTTTTTTTTGTTTTTTTTTTTTTTGTTTTCCTTTCGTAGGTATTATGATTTATTTTTATTTATTTTTTAAGTAAGGTGATGATGATGATGATGATTTTACATTCGTGAAGTATTACGTTACGTTAAAAAAAAAAAAAAGTAAGGTGACCTTTATGGATTTTTAAATGAAAAGCTTTCAACTTGATTTTGTGTGCATCGCGTTCAAGTGAAAGCAATGAAATTAAAATGAATGTTGATGTATCTTGATATAAATTCGCTCCTTTTTTTTTTATTTACTGTATTTGGAGCCATCATCCGGTTCTTTTTTCTATCTTTCTCACTCTCTCTCTTTCCTTTACGGTTCGCATGCCTTACCTTCTTTCCATTCTCCCTTTTTTCTCTCATCCGTCTCCCACAATTTTCTTCTCGTTTTATTTTCTTTTCACTTTCTCTCTCTCTTGCTTTTTTTTTTTTTGAACGTACGTACAACATTTTATTACATTTTCTCTCTCTCTCTCTCTCTTTCGTTCCCTCAAACGAAATGGCTTTCAAGAAGGCTTTTCGCGTTTAACAGGAAAAGAAAAATAAGTTAAAAACCGCAGGCGTGAATTTTCATTTCGGTTGGAAAAATTCACTCGTCTTTTTCGTGAATGAACTTTGCAATACTTATATATATATATGTGTATTTCTCTCTCTCTCTCTCTCTCTCTTCCTTTGAATTTTACCTTTGAACTTTTATTATTATTATTATTATTATTATTATTATACTTTTATATATATTTTTTGTTTTAAATTTTACACGAAACAAAATATTAAAGTGAAGTAAAGTAAAAAAAAAAGGTAAAAATAAAATCCTCTTTTTTTTTTTAAATTAAAGTAAATAAAAAGAAAAAGGAAAAAAGGAAAAAAGGGAAAAGGAAAAAAAAATGAGGGGAATCCCTAATTTAAAGTCGATAATCCGCAAAACCAAAAAGGAAATTTCTTTTTTGTTTTGTTTTTTTTTTTTTTTTTGCAGACGTTAACGATTTTCTAAATCCACGAAAACCGGTTTTTATTGACTATCAATATAACCCAAAGGAAAAATTACCATTATTATTATTATCATTATTATCATTATTATTATTTTTTAATAAAGAAATTTTTTTTTTTCTTCCTCATAAAAAAAAAAATAAAAGTATGTGCAAAAGTAAATTTATAGACTATAAAAATTTGTCTATAAATTAAAAATTTATATAAAGAATTTAATTAATGCACTTTTTTTTTTCGTTTTTCGTTTCGTTTTTGTTCATTAACGACCGCCATTTTGAATGTGTGTGGGTAGGGGAGAGGAAAAGGGAATGACGTAAACAAAAACGAAATTAAAACAAAAAAAATTTTTTTTTTTTTTATCCACCTGAGGCAATAATAACAAAAAAAAATGTCGTCTTACTTTTAATAAATTTGTTTTTTTTTTTTTTTTTTTTTTAACTACAACATATCGTTGTAGTTATTTACCCACAGCGATAATATTCTTTTTAATTTACACTTTTGTAGTAAATTGTAATAAAAAATCATTATTATTATTATTATTATTATTATTATTATTTGTTTGTTTTCGAATCATTTTAACCCTTTTCCAACTTATTTTTCTCATCATTTTCTTTTTTTTTTTTTTTTTTTTTTTTTTTACTTTCTACTACAATCAATCTCTCTTTTATGTCACGAAATGATTTATTACTTTTATTGATAATGTAGATAATAATAATAATAATAATAATGATAATAATATAATTAAATAGATAAAAGAATTATCGGAAAATAACAATAATAACGACGGCGGGATGATGAAAAAACATTGATTTTTTTTTTTTTTTTTGTGGATCGAATCGATCGTGCAAATTACAAAAATTTTTTTATTTAACTACAACCGATTACAAACGCGTGATGAAAAGTAATTTTTAGTAATAATTAATAATAATAATGATAATAATGTATACAAAAGATCGTTTAGTATCGATGAAAATTAATTAAATTCTATGGTAATTTTACTCCGGTAATAATATTTAAGAAAATTTTAGATTATTATGAGAGATTCGTGCGAGTATGATCCCCGTTTTATTAATCCCCCCTTTTCAACGTTTTAAACGTAGGAGGAGGAAAACAAAAAAAAAAAAAAAAAAAAAGGTTGAATCAATAATAATAATAAGAGTTTTCAAATATGGAACCATATGCTGCCACGTATAACTTTTGTTTTACTCACTCTCTCTCTCTCTCTCTCTCTCTCTCCCTTTCTCTCTCTCCTACATAACCGTGTGCGTGTGTGCGTGTGCGTGTGTGCGTGTGCGTGTGTGTACTGATGCTGTTGTGAATTCCAATGACTTTTCCGGTGGATGGTGAAAGATTTAAATGAGAGGCTGAATTTTTTTTTTAAGCGAATTTTAAAACGTCAGCGCGACAGGAATTTTTTTTTTTTTATTTTGTTTCTGCCTTTTTTTTTCGATCGGATTTTCCTCCTCCCCTCGTTATAGGTTTTAAATTTTATTTTTTTAATAACCCAATAAAATTTTAGTTTTTTTTGAAAAGAAAAAGAGAGGGAGGGAGAGTAGGTATGTGTATGTGTGCGTGTGTGTGTGTGGAAAAAGAAAGGAAATGAGAAAAACCAAAATTCGAAAACCGCAAATTACAACAACAAATTTCCCGCGAAAAACCCCCTTAAAAAAACTTTTATTAATATTATTGTTTCTATTTTAATATTTTTTTATGTTTAAATTATTATTATTATTATTATTATTATTGTAAAAAAACCGTTAAAACCCTCGCTATAATGTGCTATAATTTCACATCGTATACATAAATATTTACTCTTTATAATAACGTTCTATAGTTTTTGCATTTTCATTAATTTTTTTCTTTTTTGTTTGTTTCAGGTAAGTTGTTACGTCAAAGTAAATTTTGATTGTTTTATGTTGTTTGTTTGAATTCTTTTTTTTCATCCGAAACAAACGGAAACATGGTTTATTTTCGGGTGAAAAAAAAAAAAAAAACAAAACAAAAACATAAAAAAGGCTGACAACATTTTAATAAAATCTGAATAAAAAAAATGCTGAATTAAAATTTTCCGAAAAAAAATAAAAATTCAGGTACGTAAACACACACAAAAAAAAACGTGTCGACCTGTCGAATGATAATAATAATAATAATAATAGTAATGAAAAAAAAAAAAAAGAAATTTAGTTAAAACAATCCAATCACGTTGTTTTATATAATTATAATAATATAATTAATATAAATGAAGGTTTTTTTTTTATGTCTTGTCAAAATAACATGGTGAACATAATATGGTTATCAAGGTAGTACATAATTTTAACCTTGAAAGGTCAAAGGCCTTTTTTTTTGCTTCAAATGCGTTTTCTTACACACAATTACTTGAATGTGAATCCGAAAACTCACTGACGATTGCAATTAAAACGCGACAAAAGAAGAAAAAAAGTTTTTTTTTTTTCATTTTTTTCGGCAAATTTTTTTTCTATTTGCAATTTTTCAATTAACTTTAATAATAATAATAATAATAATAATAATAATAATAATAATAATAATAATAATAATAATAGATTTGCTAGAGCGTGTGAAACCTAGCGAAAAAAAAAAAAAATTGCACGTTTTAATTAAGTAAACATTTAAAAGAAAGATGGTGGATGATTTTAATTTTTTTTTTAAAACGTTTTCGTTATTTTAATTGCTTTAACGCTATTATTTTTATCACCGCTACTACTATGACCGCCCCCCCACCACGGCTCCTAATACAATTAATTAATTAATGATTCCATCATACGTGATAAAATGTTATTCTACTTTTTAACGGACAAAAAAATTTGTTTGTCTTTTTTTTTTCGTAACTTTAAATAGGTTTGATTCGCAAAATTTCTTTCTATTATTCGGCATCGTTAAAGAACGTTCGTTAATTATGCGTGTGCGTTTTTTTTTTTTTTTTAACGATGACAATTAAAAGAATGAAAAAAATACAAAAAAAGACAAAAAAGTGCGCAAAAGGCATGCATCACACACACGTTTATGAATGTGCGACGGTTTTTTTTCCTTTCTCTGTAATAAAATTTTAATTTGGTTAGTTTTTAAAAATTACCGTATTTAAATAATGCGATGATAATAAAAATAATAGCGATGAATGAAAAATGGAAGGCATTCGCGTCTTTTTTCCTCCTCCTCCTCCTCCTGTTTCACCTCCTCTTTCAAGTTCCTTAATTATTTTACGCGAGCCTGAAATTCTATTTTTTTTTTTATTCTGGTTCGTTATTTTATTTTATTTTTTAATAAAAAACATTCTTGAAATATTTTACAAAAATTTAAATAAAATTTTTTATTTTTTTTCATGTTGATTCGATAACGGGAAGGAGGGGGAAGGGACGTGGAAAAAGAAAAAAAAAACTTTTCGCAGAAAAATAAATTAAAAGCTTACGAACGAAAAAGCAAATGTATTTTTTTTCAAAGAGTCCAAATGAAAAAAAAAAAATTTTTTTTTTTTATCAATCTTAATAATTTTTTTTAAAAAAAAAAAAGTAAATCTTTGATTCGGTACTGATGAAATTGATTTTTCTCATGTCACGTCACAGAATGTTGTGATTTTTATATATATAGAAAAAAAAAGAAAAGGAAAGAAAAGGAAAGGAAAAAGAAAACTCCATTTTTTCTTCCGCTGTTGTCAAAGCTTTTCAATTTAGTTTAATGTCATCGTCGTCGTCGTTGTCGTCTGCTTCTTTTTGGTTTTCGAGTGTGTTTGCTTAGTCGTCGTATTCAATATAAAGATACGATACTTTTTCTATGGTATCGATCAAAAGATTCTTTTGACCATCCAATTTACCTTTTTCTATATAAAATAATTTTTTTTTTTTTTTAATGGCTTCCGATTTGAAAAATTAATGATTATAACTTTACTAATTAGTAAAAAAAAATGTGTCGAAATTCGTTTGTCGTTTTATATTTATAAATTTTATAAAATTTATTTATTTATTTAATCGGATAAAACTTTTTTTAAAGGTAACAATAAAAACTACAGAAAAAGAAAAGTCATTTAAATTTTCATAGAGTATATATTGCGATCAAATTTCAAAAAAAAAAAAACAAACAACAGAAAAAAATTATATCTAAAAATAAAAAGCAAAAAAAAAATTTTTTTTTTTTTTAAAATTATTTTGAAATGCCGGGTAAATTATTATTATTATTGCTGTCGTTTAAACAACGAGGTTTCCACCGTAGCCGGCATATCCGTTCAAAAATCCGGTACGAGTTTCCAAAGCGGCGGCTGCAGCAGCAGCGCGGGTTTCCAAAGCAGCAGCACCAGCCGGGTACAAACCTGGAGCTGCATAAACACCAGTGGTAGCAAAACGTGGGCTTTGAACTCTTCTGCTGGTGCTGTAGGGGATTTGTTCGACGACCGGTCTGACGACGGTTTTAACGCAATTGCAAGTGTCGCAAACGGAAGTTGGACAACCAGTACCGTAGGTTGCTCCTCCGTAAACTCCACCGAAACCGATTCCTGGGTAGGCAGGTCCGACGTAGGCTTCGGTTATGGCCTAACGGAAAAAATTTTTTTTTTTTGGATTTTAATAAAAAATATTAATAATAATAATAATAATAATAATAATAATAATAATAATAATAATAATAATAATAATAATAATAATAATAATAATAATAATAATAATAATAATAATTAATTACTTACGGCGAAAAGAGCAAGAGACAAAACGACAACACAAGCGGAATTCATTTTTTCAGAAAGATGTATTTTTCTTTTTTAAGTAAAAAGAATTGGTTTTAAGGTATTTCTTTAGCTGAAATGCTGTTGAAAAACTGATGCCTTAAACCTTTTCAACCGAACCTTATATAGTGAAAAAATTTTCTCTGTGGAAAAATCCGAACATGATCGATAGTAAAAGGAACTTATCAAAAATTCTCAGGGTTATGCACGGAAAGTTTTCGATTTTTCTTCTTTTTCTTCTTTTTCCTTTTGATTTATTATGAATGAGACAAGGCACACAGAAAAAAGAAAGAAAACAAATAAGCAAACAAACAAACAAACAAACAAAAAAAAAAAAACTTTTTACGACAATCGACTTCCTCTCTTTCTCTCTCTCTCTCTTCATTTCCTTACGAAAAAAAAAAAAAAAAAAATTACTTAATTTCATTTACTAAAACTTATTCATTTCTTCCTTCTTCCTCTTCTTACTTCCTCTTTTTTCTTCTCCCCCTCCCCTCCCCTTCCTCCCTTCATAAATAACTTACATTTTTCTTTTTAATTAAAAATTATTAACAAATTATTAATAAAATTTATTAACAAAAAAAAAATAAAATAATAATAAATAATAATTACGATAGTAATAATAATTAAATAATTAATAATAATAATGATGATAATAATAATAATTACCCAATTTATTTTAATTCAAATAAAAAATAAAAAAAAAGAAAGGGGGAGAATAATAATATTTTTGACGTGGAATTGGAATTATACTTGTACAAGAAAAAAATTTTTTTCTTCTTCTTGATTTCATTTTTTTTATTGTAAAAACATGTCACGTGACGAAAAACAACTTATAGTTAAATTTATAGCGCTATATCATAAACTATTACGTAATGCTTTGTTTAAAATAAAAAAATTTCGATTTGTTTAATAATTAATTAATTTAATTTTTTTTTAGAGAGAGAGAGAAGGAGGGAGGGGGAGAGAGAGAGAGAAGGTAATAAAATATTATTAATAAGATGGCGATCGTTTTCCATCGAGTAGTAATTAATTTAAAATCTAAATTGGGGTGATCAATCAATTATTAATAAAAAAATGAAATCAATAAGTTTTTTTATACGAATACACTACGACGAACCCAAAACTTAAAAAAGGCGGACTAATTAAATTTAAATGATTTCTTTTTCATTTTCTGCTTCAACTGTTTTTTTTTCACTTTTCCTTCCTTCATTTCTTTTTATTTTTTAATTTTCAACTTTTCTTTTTTTTTTTTTTACCTGAAAAGTTTTATTTATTTTTTATTATTGTAAAACTTAGCCCTGTAATTAATTAATTTAAAAATTTATCGTAAGGGGTGGAGAAGGAAAAGGAGGAGAAGAAAGTAATAAAACCGCGGGGAAGGAGACAGGTACGGGTCGCGATAGGAAATGACGTGTTTTTATTTATTTAAATGCATATCGATTAAGGTTTAATGGTTTCCGATATAAAATTTAACGTAAGGTATTAACTAAAAATTGCATTGTTAATAATAATAATAATAATAATAATAATAATAATAATAATAATAATAATAATATTAATAATAATAATAATAATAACAATAATGAGGATAATAATAATAATAATAAAGTGAATTAGACTTGTATGATTTGGTCAATTTAGTTAAAAAACGAAAAAAAATTACCCGTGGAAAATTGAACTTTTCGCTGACACCATTTTACGGGTCAGCCATTTTGTTAAAATGTCCGACATTAAGGACCCCCGTTAACCAATAACAATCAAAATGTGATGTAATTTTTTCTTTTTTTTTTTTTTGCTCACAATGAAAAATTGTCTGAACATCTTCAGGTCTAAAAAATGTTTTAACATTTATCACGTTTTACTTGCGGCAACAAAAAATAGTTTTTATCTGTTGGAAAATCATGGGACCCAACGTTTCTTATCAGTGCGGAGGGTTTTTTTTTTTTTTAATTGTCAGAGTCACGCGGGGGTTTTTTTGTTATTTCAACCTTCTTCCATTTAAACGACCTGATATTGACCCGATGATTAATCAGATCCCTCTTCTTCTTCTTTTTTTGTTTTTGTTGTTTTTCATTTTATTTTTGTAATAGAACCTTTTGTCTTGACACGAATGGGGAAAAAAAAGAAGTAATTCGGTTTATGGATTGACTTTTACTCGATCAATTTTCATCGTGGTACGAGATTTTTTACAGTATAAAAGCTCAAAGGTTTTCAGAATTGTCATCAGTTCAGTTTCTGACTAACTAAGAATAAAACAACAAACTAAAAAAACCTTAAAACTAAAAACTAAAAATGAATTCCATCATCGTTTTCTCTCTTGCTGTTTTGGGAGTAAGTATTATTATTATTATTAATATTTTATTAATTTAAATCGGGGGATTTTACTTTTTAAAAAAAGGAAATGGATTAATCATGATATTAATAGGTTGCCTCCGCTGCTGTTGTCGGACCTGTCGGACTCGGAATCACCGGTGTCGGTTGTGCTCCAACCGTTTCCGAAACCGTCGTAACTCCCTTCCACAGAACTGACGCCGTTGCTAGCCCATGCAGTAAAACCGTCGTACACACTTCGACTCTCCCAGGTTTGACCGGTTACGGAGCCGGAGCTGGTTTTTTATCCGGAGCTGCCGGAGTTTACCCTGGAGTTTTGGGAACCGGTCTCAACGGAGGTGTTTTGGGAGTCGGAGCTTACCCCGGCGCTGTAGGAGGTGTCGGAACTGGACTTGTTGGAACAGGCCTTGTTGGAACCGGACTTGTTGGAACAGGGCTTGCTGGAGCAGGCCTTGCTGGTGCAGGACTTGCTGGAGCCGGCCTTGTTGGAACCGGTCTCGCTGGAGCAGGCCTCGTTGGAACCGGTCTCGCTGGAGCAGGCCTTGCTGGAGCCGGAATTGTCGGAAACGGTCTTGTAGGAACCGGAGGTCTTTTGACCGGAGGAGTTCTCTCAACAACTTCTTACGGATGTGGAAACACTGTTGTCTAATTTTTAATATTATTATTCTGCACTGATCAACCCTGAATTTTAATTTATTTATTTTAAATCTTTTTTTTTCCCCTTTTATTTCTATTCTTTTATTCTATGTAGCATTAATTAATAATGATAATAATAATAAATAAAAAAAAATTTTTTTCCTCATTTAAAAAAACAAAAAACGTCTCGAAAATTTTTTCTCTCCCCTTATTAAATCTAAAAACGATGAAGTGTGACGTCACGGTAAAAAAAATTACCGCGGTAAAATATCAAACACTAAAAATCGTATAACCGCGATTGAAATAAGAAGAAACGATAATTAATTAACAAAACGGAAATTATTAAATTATTTACATAGAAATAAATTCAAAACGATTTGTCTAAAGACACGGTAAAAAAAAAAAAAAATAATAATAATAAATTTATTATTATTATTATAAACTTTTGCGCGGTTGTGTCGAGGAGTCGAACAAAAAATGCGTGTAAGAAGAAAAAAAAAATTTAATGATTGATTATTTATTGTATCTGTCAATTTAAAAATTGTTTTCCGTTAAATGTATTATTATTATTATTATTATTATTATTATTATTATAGGTCGATACGTGTGAGAAATTTATTGCGGCAAGGTCGCACGATAAATACTATTAAAAAAAAAAAAAAAAAATTTTTTTTTCTACGTGACCAACAGGCTAAACGTTTTTTTTTTATTATTTTAACGGTAAAAATTAAAGTTTTGATATTTAATTGAAGTTTTTTTTTATGAATGAACGAAAAGGAGTGAAAAGGTCAAATTTATTATCACGCAATAAAAATTTTTTTTTTTTTTTTTTTAAGAATCATGCTAATAGTCAATTATTTATAGCAAAAAAAAAATAATATTTATTAATTTGCTATAGTCGATCCATAAAATTTTTTATTAACTCTATAAAATTCTATAGTTTTTTTTTTTGTTGAATCGCTATCCGTAAAAATGAATTTTACCGAAAAAAATTTTATGTTTACCTGATAGAGTAAAATTAAAAACCTTAATACGCCGCTGTATAATATTTTTCATTTCTGATCCTATAGTTAGGAGCCAAGTAAATATGTTAATAATAATTATTATTATTATCATCATTAATTTGGAATTAATTGTAATTTGCAATCATAAAAATGTAAATAAAACTTGTTGCGTAATAACGGCGAAAAATAATAATAATTGGAAGCCATTTTAAATTTTTTTATGATTTCCAAATTTTTATTCGGTTGTTGTTATTATTATTAATTTTTGTTTGGGTTAAATAGGTTGAGTAAATAAAAATTCATTTTTTTATGAATGGATGAGATTTATTTTATTAAACAAAACAAACATTACTCCAGCTTTTATGATGGAATAAGTGAAACGGATGCGTGTGTTAAGAAAAGAAAAAAAACACAACTGGAATCACTCTAAATGTTATAAGTTATGCTTCATATTAAGTTGGAGAGAAATGAAGTTTTTTAATTTAGAGGACCAAGTTGTTTCCGCATCCGCATCCGGAGGAGACACCAGAAACGAGACCACCAAATCCAGAGTTGACACCAGAGACGACGTTGACGTTGTTAAGTCCAGAGACGACGTTGAAGTTGTTAAGTCCAGAGACGACACCGGTAAGTCCAGAGTTCATTCCAGAGACGAGACCACCAAATCCAGAGTTGACGCCAGAGACAACGTTGACACCGCTAACTCCGGTGGATTGAGCAACGACTGGGACGGAGGCAGTTGGAACATCGGTGGCACTTCCGGTGACGTATGGGACGGTTTCAACAATTGGGGTGGAGGTGGTTTGGACGAAACGTTGGACAGATGGGAAAGAGTAGACTTCCTTGCGGACGGTTGGTCTGACAACGGTGTTGACGCAGTTGCAGGCTTCTTGAACGGAAGCTGGGGTGACGACGGATGGAAGACGGACGGTTGGGGCTTCGACAACTGGGGCAGAGGCAACAGCGGTGGTCATTCCGGTGTTCAAGGCTCCCAATCCGTTGAGTCCGTTAAGTCCGTTGAGTCCGTTGAGTCCGTTGAGTCCGTTAAGTCCAGAAACGACGTTCATTCCGGTCAATCCGTTAAGTCCAGAAACGACGTTCATTCCGGTCAATCCGTTAAGTCCAGAAACGACGTTCAATCCGGACATACCGTTCATGCCAACGTTGGAGAGAACGCAGTTAGCGGAGGCCTAAATAAAAATAATAATAATAATAATTTTTTTAAAAATAATTATCGTACCAAAATTCATTTTTCTTTTTGTTGTTTGTTCTTCGTATTTTCCCTCATCGAGTGTAATTTTTTTTTGAATACTTACTCCGAAAACGGCCAAAGCCAAAACCAAGAAGCTAGCAGAGTACATTTTTAGTTGTTTTGTTATTGATGTTTTTCTGTGAGACAGTAAACTATGATTTGTAACTCGTCGCGCTGGGTTTTTATATGCTAAAATTTTTAATGGCCATATACGTAAACGTGATTCTCGAAAGATTTAAATTTAGGCTGACACAGGAAGAATCAGGGTTAAACCAACGGTTTTAAGAGTCGCGCATGTAAAAAAAACCCGGGAGCCTATCGGAGTTTGTGATAATAACAATTGAAGTTCTTTAAACTCGACGCCATTTTAATATCAACAAAAATTTGTTTCTTTTTTTTGTTTTAATTTGATACGTCCTTACGAAATTCTTTTTCTTTCTTTTTTTTGCACAGTCAGTCAGGCCAACATGAAGCAAGAAAATTTTTTTTTAAAGTTTTACTATTGTATTCTACACATATTAATACTTAATTTAATTTTTATTGAATTTTATTTTTTCACATTTTATAGCGCTTTCATCTCATATATTTGAAAAAGAAAAAAATTTTTTTTGATTCTTTATTATTTAATACCGAGTCTATAATCAAATTAAAATTTTTTAAAATAAAAATTATCTCTATAATAAGTTTATAGCGGAAAATGTACGAGTAATATAGTTAAACTCGTTATAGGGTTTATAGCGTAATCCAATTAAAAATTTTAAATTTAATTTAATAAAATTTATTAATGTTTTTATTAAAAAAAAAAAAAACAAAATTATTAAGTATATATAGTTTATTTAATTCAATGAAAATAATAAAAAAAAAATTATAGCAAATTATAGTAAATTAATTTTAAAAAAATTACAATATAGCGTGAGTAAGATATTAACTGCTTATCTAATAATAATAATAATAATAATAATAATAATAATAATAATAATAATAATAATAATTTCGCTGTTGTATTAAAATTTTAAAGTAGGGGGGAGGGTATAAGCTATTAGCAAATAGTTTATAGCTATTATAGCTTTAAAGTCTAAATTAAAGTTTTTTAATTCGGAAAAAAATTTTTTTTTTCCACGGAATTTTTCTCTCTCTCTCTCTCTCACTTTTTCTCTATTTCTTTTTCTTTCATTTTCATTCTTTTTTTTTTTTTAATTCTATTTCGTTTTTATAATTTTCCTTTTTTTTGCCATTTACTACCTCTCATATTAAATCAGGCCGCAAAAGTTTTTCCTCGAAAGCGTTTCCGGAATTGTTAAGGGGGGGGGGAAATTTTTTTTTTTTATATACAAAACATCAACAACAGGAAAATATTAAACGTAATTTAATTTTTTGAATTTAAATACGCGAAAAGTTTTCTTTTTTTTTTTTTTTTCTCCTGTCGTTTCATCGTCACCGTCGTCTTCGTCCTCATCATCATTATTATTATTTTTGTCGTAAGAGTTGTTCGAAAGCTTTTCCGAAAATCTTTTCAAGAAATCTTAAATTTATACCAAAGTAAATTTTATTTACTATCAAAGTTTTAGTCGTTTTTTTTTTTTTTTTTGGCACGGTTGGTGTAACTGTTTGTGACGTAATCAATACAAGAAAATAGGAAGAAAAAAAAAGGAAAAGCATTTTTCCCGTACTTTCTTTTTCTTTTTTTTTCTTTAATTAAAAATTTTATAAGTTTTTTTTTTTTTTTTTTTAAAATACTTATCATTAGCATCAATAATAATAATAGCAGTAATAGCAGAAATAATAACGATGATAATAATAATAATAACGAAAATAAATGAAAAGAAAAGAAAAAAATTTAAATTGTTTACAAACATTTTTTGTTTGTTTTATTAGTGGTTGGTTTTTTTTTTTTTTTTCAAGTTTGCAAATTTATTTATGTACATAAATTCATAGTTATATATAAATGGCGGAAACGTGATTTTAATACCTCTTAAACGGTATCGTTCGATCAAAGACGACGACGACGACGACGACGACACCAATTTTTACTTATTTTTTTAAATAAATTTTTAAAAAATTAACCGAGGCTTGTTTTAAAGGAAATTTTTTCGTAGCCTTATTTAAAAAAAAAACAAAAATTAAGGCTTTATTTTATTTGTTTTTACAGAGTTCATTTAAAATCGTATTAATTTTTTTTTTTTTTTTAAATTTTCAGTGCCGAAATATTTGTTTTTTTTTTTAATAAAAATTTATTTTAAATTTTACGCGGGATGATACGATTACGTTGAAAAATTTTGAACAACATTCGTTATAAAATTACCATTGTTTAACATTTGACACATAATAGAATTGACCTTAACCGTTTATTAGGCTCTTTACGCGTCCTTTAATAATAATACTAATAATAATAATTTTGCATAAACAAAAACTTAACAAATTCCTCGTATATATCCATACCCGACTAAATATTATATTTATTATTATTATTATTATTATTATTATTATTATTGTGGATAAAATTATTTTATGTTATACTTAAATGTGATTTATATATCATTTAAAACATAAATTATAACTTAGAGAGAAAGAGAGAGAGAAAGATCCGGACAAAAACAAACAAACAAACAAACAAATACAACAAACCCATTGTCAAATTTGTAACCGAATGTTATTATAAAGAATTCGAAATATTTTCACTACCCTCCCACTCCCCCGAACGGAGAAAGAAGGTAGTGGAAGTGGGAGGTGAAGGGAGTAGTGCGAGGCTCGTATCGTTTCCGACAATTTTTTTGCCCCTCTCCCTCCCTTTACAATTTCGAAATTCGATTCGAATTCGTCGGAAAAAAAAATTTATTAAAATTTATTCATTAAAAAAAAATTTTTTATTTTTTTTTCGCATTAATTCAAAATGTCGGACAAATTTTTTTTTTTTTTTTTTTTTATTCTATGTCATCGAACAACCAATTAATATAAAATCAATTCGACAAAAAAAATTATTATTATTATTATCTTTTTTTTTAGTTAATGACGATAAATGTTAAAAAAAAAAAAAAAAGTTTTTGATTAAATTTAATTCTCACCTGGCTGTTGACCCATAATAATAATTATTATTATTATTATTTATTCATTACGAAGTAATCGATAATCAAATGTGTGTGTATACGGTGTGGTTGTTATCAACCGTGTCGTTCTTATCAATAATTTTCTACTTTAAAACAACATAGCAATTATGTGAATACGATTAAGTTTTCAACTTTACAGTTCATTTAATAAAAAAAATTTTTTTCTGTTGTTTTTTCCTCTCTGATTGTTTTTTTTAACTATCGATACTGTATTCAAACACACACACGACATGTTGCGACAATATGGCGAATGTCGCAACAACAACAACAAAAACGACGAAGACGTTGACGACAACCACGTAAATAAATTAATTAAACGTAAACTTTAAACATTTTGTTTTGATTTTTCCTCCATATTATTTTTTTTTTCAATTCACGCGTCTAAAAGACAAATAAATAAATAATTAATAAATAATTTTATTATTTTATTTTTTACAATAAATAAATAATTAATAAGTTACGTAATCATAATAAAATTAATAAAAAGAAAAAATTATTTTCTAGGTTTTATAAGTTCAACATACTTTTTCCAATCGGGTAATTTATTCTGAAAATTTTCTTTTTTACACGTTTCGAATGTGTATATTCTTAATTTTTTAATTTTTTCATCCGACGGAAGTTCGACTATAGATTTAAATGGATCGAACGATGCCATTTCCGGTTTATCATTTTCTAAAAAAAAAACATCATCCCATTCACGTAGATCGAACGGTGGAACGATTTGATGAGGAACGTCGTTCGTAACGGGTGGTAGATTAGTGGGAGGGAGTAGCGATGGTGGTGGTGGTAGCGGTGGTAGTAGAAAAGTGGTTGTTGGCACTTCCATTTCCTTTCCGTAAGAAAAATCCGGTTTCGAATTTCGTTCATCTTCGGGTAAATACGTCGGAATATACGTCGGATCGTTAAATGAATTTTCCATAGTTTGAATTTCCGGTACGGTTAACAAATAGTTATAATCGGAAACTACGTAATCGTTTGGTAACAATTCATGATAATCGGATAAAAATTTTCCTCCGCGAACCTTTAATTTATTAATAATAATAATAATAATAATAATTTTTTTAAAAATTATAATAATAATAATATGAATGTTTAGAAAAAAAGCAAAACGTACCCCAAAAACAAAACAAGAAATTATAACGATGCATTTATTCATAATAATGATCGTCACGATCGTTCAAAACAGGCGGTGGAACAGAAATGAAAATGTTTGTCGTCATTGAAAAAAATTCATTTCCTTTTATATAAACTAAAAAAAATATCAGAGTAGAATAATAATAATAATAAAATGTTTTCACTCTCTATTCTTTTCAAAAAAAAAAAAAAATGGAGAGGGTAAAAGGTAAAATAAAAAAAATAATAAGGGCCGCGAACCTTTTGCAAAAAAAAAAAAAAAACAATAATGGCGTCGTAACGATTTTAAATTATCCGTGACTTTTAATAATAATAATAATATCTACAATTATTATTATTATCGAATTTTTTATAAAGGTAAATAAATTACAGGTGAACAAACTTACAACTAATACGTAGTTCGTAAAAAAGAGTAAAAATTTAAATGTAACGTCGTGATTACGTCATCGTCAAATTGTAAACACACAAACGAGTGGGAAAAATTAATTTGATGGAAGAAAAAAAAATGCCGCTTTCTGATTGGTTGAAATTTTCTTTTTTTTTTTTTTTCTTATCAAAGATATTTAAAATGTGGTGGTGAAGTCGATCGACAAAACCCTGGAGAATTTTTTTTTCATTCTTTCCAGTCAATATAAATATTCCCATTGGAGTATTTTTTTTTTTTTTTATTATTTTCTTTAATAGATTTTTTCCATCGTGGATTTTTATATGCGGGAAAGACAAAACCGATGATAATAATAATAATAATAGTGGGAAGAAAAAAAAAAATTTGTATAAAATAATTTTAATGGCATTCATTCACAAAAGGTTTTTTTTTTTTTAATAAAGAAAGGAATGAGTGAAATGCACACACAAAAAAGAGAGAGGGGAAGAATGAATGAGAAGAAGAGAGAGAGACGGAAAGGGGGAGGGGGAGGGAAGGAAAAGGTTGAAATTTATTTTTCAGGATTCGCTAAAGTGAATCGACTAAAACGTGGCAACCAATTTCGGTTTTCGAACGGCATACTAATTTATTTTGTTCTGTTTCAGTTTCAATTGGATTTTGGATAATTTGAATAATTGAAGTGAGAAATGAGAGAGACAGAGAAAGAAAGAGAGAAAGAGAGAGAGAGAGAGAGAGAGAGACTATTATATTTATCTATGGAAAATTTTTTTGAAATTGAAATTTATTTAAATTAAATACAATTCTATTTGTTGTAGTTGTTGTTTATCGTTTTGTTTTATTAAAGATTTTTATTTATTTCGTGGTTTATTATTTAAAAAAAAAAAAAAAAAGGAAAAGACGGATTCAGACGTGAGGGGAGGGGGGATTTTTTTTATAATGAATTTAAATGACATTGTAAGGTTTCCACCGCAAATGAAATCATATCCGGTTTCAAAGAATTTTTCAAATCCGATCAAGTTCGTAAAGAAAGAAAAAAAATTTTTTTTTTTTTTTTTGATAAAGTATATTTAATTAACACGTAAAAAATCTCTCCCTCCCTCTCTCTCTCTCTCTTTCACTCCCTCTTTCTACCCTCTTCCCCTCTGTCTACTCTCTCTCTCTTTTTTACTCTCTTTTCTAACTGTAACTTATGTTAATTTTGCGATTGTAACGATTAATTAATCTCACGTCAAATTATTTTTCGAACGCGATCAAAGATTGAGATCAGATCAAAAAATAATAATAATGATAATGATGATAATAATAATAATAATAATAATAATAATAATAATAATAATAATAATAATAATAATAACGAGAGGAAAAGGAAAAAAAATAAATAAAAAAGTCATTAATCAAAAGAAAATCCGGGAAAAAAAAAACAAAAAAAAGGAAAAGAAAAAAAGCACGAGAAAGTAAAAAGAAAAAAGGAGAGAAAAAAAAAAATTGACAAAAGGTTTTTTTGCCTTTTCCTTTCCTTTCCTTATATAATTTAATGTAAGTCCAAAATGGAAAAGAAAATAATGATAATAATAATGATGATAATGATAATGATAATGATAAAAAAGAAAGTAAAGAAAAAGGAAAAGTATTAGAAAATGAAAATGGAAAGAAAGAAAGAGAAAAAAAAAGGTTTAAAATGAAAGTGCATGAATCTGTTTTGAACTGGTTTCCTTTGGCGTTTCCTTTGGGAATCATAAACCCATGTGATATCGTAAAACGAAAAATGTTTTTAAAAAAATAAAAAAAAAAAAAGGAGAAGAAGCAGAAGAAAAAAAAAACCTGATAGATACGTGAGTTAACTGAAAAATTGTAATCAAATGAAATAAGTATTTTTCAATGTAACATCATCATTAATGATTCACCTTCGTTTTGAAAAATGAATGACTTACCTTTTAAGGTCAAAATTTCCACTCTCTCTCTCTCTCACTTGCTCATTTTTTTCATCTTTCAACTCTCTCTCTTTCTCTCTCGTTTATTTCTTTTCTCTTACCATTCCTTTTATTTTATTTTATTTTTATTTTTTTGTTCGATTGAAAATTTTTTTTAAACGTCGAATCGAATTCGAATCCCTTTAAAACAAAAACACAAAAATTTATTTTCGGTTAAATAAAAATATAAAATCCAAACTCTACAAATGTTCTTCACTGGAATAAATTACTGTACAAACAAACAAACAAACACGAAAACATTCGGTAAAATAAACTTCACGACGTTTATTTAAAAAAAAAAAAAATACGCGAAAATAATTTGTTCTTTTATTATTTTTTTTGAATCGGTATTTTTTTTTGGCGCCAAATATAAAAAAAGAAAAAAGATGGAAATTTATGTTTGTATGAAAAAGTTGTTGTTTGTTTACCCGGCCGTAAAGAGCGGATAAATTAGCGTTTGATGATTTCTCAAAAAGTCAATAAAACTGTCTTATTCTGTGGTCACGCGAAAAGGTTTTCTTACTGTCGTCGTTTATTTGAAAAATGACTCCATTTTTTTTTTTTTTTTAGTGAGAGCATAAAACACGAAAACGTAAAAAAAAACGTCACGAACGACATCATCATCATTATTATCATTTTTAAAAATAATATTTTAAAACATAAGAATGTATTATTATTAATATTAATATTTCCTTGATACGGTCCTTGTAATTTACGCAATGTTTGAAAAATTTTTAATAAACCTTATAGACAAATAATGCCAAATCGGCATTAAAATAAAAAATAGAAAAAAACTAAATTTTTTTGTTTTGTTGTTTGTCGTTTGTTGTTTGTTTTCATTTCGACTAAAATAGAAATTTAGTTTCGTTTTTTATTTAATTTCATTTAGTTATTTATTTTCAAAAAAATTTTTTTTTTTTGTTTTTTTAAGGTTCGTTTTACAATTAATTTTTTTTAGAATCTTATATATATAAATAAGAATGAAAGAAATAAAAAAAATTTAAAGTCGTTTTAAATTTAGTCGTCGTGGCAGAAGATAAAAAAGCGTTGCGTTGCAATATGTTTTTATGTTACGTATTAATTTTTTTATCGCCGGTCGTAATTGTAAGTTTTTTTTTACGTTTACGTTTACGTTTTCGTTTTCCTTTTTTTTTTTTTAAACGTAAATTTAATTACAGGCCATGCCATCATCGATTGTTTATCAACAACCATCGTCAGGTTTAAACGCTATCAACACGTGTTTGACAAACTCGTTCGGACAATGTCCGAACGTTTTGTTACAACCTCAAATTCATAATCCCGTCCTTAGTTTACCCGTAGTTCAAAAAACTCCTTTGTACACTCCAGTAACACACAAAACCGTTTTGACACCGACACATCATAAACCTTTGATCATCCCTCACATACACAAACCCATATTACGACCCCCTATAATTCCTAAACCCCTCGTCATTCCAATCCTACCAAAATCATTGATCTCACCCATACGAGACGCCATTTTACCTATAAAAATCATTCCTTTTTTTCAAAGTTTGTTAGATATTTTTGGTAAATCCGTCGGTTTGCAATCGAAATCGAATTATTTACAACCCGTGACGATTCAAGGTCAAAGTTTAAACAATATTATCGATTATCCAAAAACTTACCATGGCTAAAACATCAACACAAATACTGGATATTTAACAAATCAAATTGGTGCATGCCATAAATAAATAAAAAAGAAAAAAACGTGTAAATAGATAATTGTTAAATAAATTTTTTTTTTTTTTGTTTTATCACATTGTTTAAACAATTTTTTTTTTATGCATTTGTTTCTGTCGGTTGTATAATTTAATTTAACGCATTGCGAACTTGAGCATATATTAAAAAAAAAAAAAAAATACGTCGAGCCTCGAGCCATTTTTTCTCTCTCTCACTCTTTTTCCCTCTCTCTCTCTCTCTTTTTTCTTCCATTTTTAAATTGCTACGTAATAAGTTAAAAATTTTTTTTTTTTTTGTAACATGTCCGAATTTTTTTTTTTTTTTTTTAAAATCACGGGAAGATAATTAAACCGAAAAAAACCAAGGCGGGAGCAGGGGGGCGGGGGGGGGTGGTGGAAATTTTATTAACCATAAAAATTTATCAAAAATAAATGAATCGAATAAAATTAAATCAACGTGGAATTTTTTTTTTTTTTTTTAATAATTTTTTCTAGAAAGATTTAGAAAAACTCCCCGAGGAAAAAAAAAAAAAAGAAAATTTTATATTATGACGATGACGATGATGGTCACGATGACGATGGCCATCTTTAAATTTTATACGCAGTACATTTATTCATAAAAAAAATTTTTTTTTGTTGTTGTTGTTGTGTTTGTTTGTTGTTTGTTCGATATATATCGAATATAACGATTTTTTTTTTTGGTTTTTTTTAAACGATTTTTCCGATCGATATCATTACAAAAAAAAAAAAATTTTAAATCGAATTTTATAAAATTTTGTCATGTTTTTCTTCTTAAAAAAATGATCGTTACGTAAATTATTATCGTAATAAAAAAAAAAACACGGTGATAAC